AAAACCCTTGTCATTGTCAACCCAACTGTGCCTGGCTGTCGCGGGAAGGTTCCAAATTAGATTGGGGAAAGGAGAGGTGGGAGAAGAACAGTCTCTCCCAAACAAACACCTTTGAGTTCTGTCTTTTGCACACCTTCCCCTAGACAGCACCAACAGGAGGCAGGGGACCCACCTTTGTTATTCTTTACCCCAAACTCTGAAGTGCTTTCCCGGAAGTGGAGGTGAAAACGATGATTTTTTTTTTTTTCATCAAAACGAGCTACTGGGTCCCGAAGAACTTCCGAGAAACTGTCTTTGGCCTTCACAGCCTCCCCTCAGGCCCGCCCCCCGCGGGATATCTGGGGGCACCATCTCCGGGGCGAGGACGCGGTGAGGGGGACGGGTATCTCTTAAAGCAGAAATGTCAACACCCTCTTAACGGCGGCGGCGGCGTTCTGGATCGTGAGCCCAGAACGATTTCCCGGTAAAGGATTCCCAGCCCCAGCCCGGAAGACGCCTGCGGGGGCGCCCGGAGGGACGTGGGGCGGCCGCCCCACCGGTCAATTTGGTGCGGGTGGGGGTCAGCCGGGGCCCGCGGGGACCAGGACTCGCGAGCGGAACCCCTGCTCGGCCCGCGGGCCGGGCGTCTGGCTGGCGGCGGGAACCGGAGAAACCGAGTCAATATTTCTCTGCCAGCTCAACGGATTGTTCAAAAAAAGAATCCTTGGCTCTGGTCGCAGCGCGGGGGTCCTAACGGCTGCGCCGCGGGCCGGCGGCAGCGCGGTGGCGCCATCGCTGTCACCCCGGAGCGCGGCAGCCCGGGACAAGCGTGGATGACTGAGGAGATGGACGGTTGAACCGAGCCGCACGGCCAACCGCAGCTGCCGGCTCCCGGCTCCCGGTGGTGGGTGCGCGGCGCTGTGCCAGGTGGGAGGACCAGCGTTGGGCTCAGGCAGAGGTGGTTGGGTGGTTACTCAGGGGTGGGCTGGCCCGCGGAAGAAGGGGCCTGGGGTGCTGGAGAATCCCCCAGTCGCCTCGAAGCCTTGGAGAAACCTTTTCCTGAGCACCTGCTAGGACCTGAACCTTCGAGGTGTTTCGGGTATGCTGTATGGACCAAGGTGCTGCCCTCCTGGAGTTTGTAGTCTAGGGAAGGCACTGGCAAGAAAATACATAGATGTGTAATGAAACGCCAGACAATGATACATTTTAGGGAAAAAATGTATATATAGTAGAGAATGAGGAAGGGGTTACTGTATTAGATTGGAGGAACTGGATAGGTCTGAGAAGGCCTGTTGGAGAAAGTGTCTTTTGACCTAGCACCTATAGGGGGTCACCATAGAATGATCCAG